CCGTGGAACGGAGAAGCTGGAAAAGGGGGGAAGAGGAGAGGAAGCGGTGGGGTTCGCCCCCCAAAGCGGGTGCCCTCGAAGGAGGAGCAGGGAGGCATCGCGACATCTTTTTGCTCCGCGTCGCTTCGGTTGCAACCTGGCAGTGCGCAAAGGCCGGGGAGAGAGCCGGCAGGGAGCTGGGGAGGCAGGCTCGCTCGGCTCCCGGCCTCCCCACGCCGCGCCAGCGGTTATTTATAATTATCCCCCTTTCCCTCCTGCGGCCGCTCCTCGGCACGCAGCGGGATTTGGGGTTCCGGCAGCAGGAGACGGGGAGAGGCCTCGGCGGCCGGTGAGACGGGGATGCTGCGGGCGATGCCCCGGTGAGCGTCGAGGCGCGGGGGAATCCGCCGTGTTTCTGCGGGGTGGGAAGAGGGGAAAGACGCCGCGATGCCCCGGAACAGGGCTTTTTCAGAGCCCGAGTGCTCGGCCGAGTACTCCGCCGACTACTCGGTGAGCTTGCCGTCGGACCCCGAGCACGGCGTGGGGCGGACCCACGAGGTGACGGTGCGCAGTTCGGGCCCCTGCCTCTGCCTCCCCCGTTTCATGCGCCTCACCTTCGCTCCCGAGTCCCTGGAGAACCTCTACCAGACTTATTTCCGTCGCCAACGCCACGAGACCCTCCTGGTGCTGGTGGTCTTCGCCGCTCTCTTCGACTGCTACGTCCTCGTCATGTGCGCCGTGGTCTACGCCGCCGACAAGCTGGCCCCGGCGCTGGTGGCGGTGGCCGGGCTGGTCGCCCACGTGTTGCTCTTCATCCTCTGCAAGTACAGGCTGCTCCCCGAGCGGGTGGCCCGCAGGTTCCTGCCCTACGTCCTCTGGGTCCTCATCTTGGCCCAGATCTTCTGCTACCTGGGCCTCAACTTCTCCCGCTCGCCTGAAGCCAGCGACACGGTGGGCTGGCAGGCGTTCTTCGTGTTCTCCTTCTTCATCACGCTGCCGCTGCGCTTGGCGCCCATCGTGCTCATCACCGCCGTCTCCTGCGGCATTCACACACTGGTGCTCGGTGTCACCGTCGCCCAGCAGCAACAGGACACCCTGGATGAGGGCACGCTGCTGAGACAGGTACGAGATGGCGGGGGGGACGTGGGGTCCCCCAGGGTGGTGGCGGGTGATGGGCAAATCATCCCCATTTGGGGTTTCCGTGAGTTACTGTGGGGTCCATCCCTGTCCCTGTGCCCTGACCCAGGTTTGATCTGGACCCTGCAAGCTGATCACGGTGTTTTCTGGGAGCAGGGGCCTCCCCAAAACATACCCAGGGATCAACTGACATGGGGAGTGGGGTGCTGGGGTGTGCAGGAGCACCCACTCATGCTGGGACACATCGGGCCCCACAAGCAACGGATCCATCCCCAGGAGCCACCCGGGCTGTGTGGACACATGGACTGCAGTTGGGCTGCTGGGGAAACTGAGGCACGATGGACTGTGGGCTCCCCCATCCACCCTGCCTGGCGACCTTGCTTGTGTTGATTTCCTTCTGAATTGCAAAAATGGCTAAAAATGGCCTTAAATGGCCATTTTTAGCAGAAGCATGGCAGGAACCCAGCTTCCGCGCTCAAAAACAGCCACCGGAGCTTTCCCAGGAGGAAGGAGCCGGGCGGCCGCTCAGCCCCAACTGAGTCCCTGGGCGAAGCCCGTCACCCAGACCCGCACCTGGGGCAGAGCCTGGGGATACTTTGGGGTGATTTTCTGCCTGGCAAAGCTGGAGAAAGAGCGTCCCCGAGCCCAAATGTGGCCCTAAGGACAGGCCACCCATTCACGCACGCAGCAAATGAGGGGATGGTTGGAGGGGAGAGCGGCCCCTGGCCCGTTGGGTTCTCAATATTTCCTGGGAAATACCCACCAGGAGCAGCTAGAGACTAGTTTTATTCTCTAAATCAGTGGATTTCACAGCTTGGCTTAGTCCCTTTCCCCACACTGATGGCCTCAATGTCCGGCCATGCACCCATCAATCTGGGGAGCCTTTCCATGGCTGGGGTGGGGAAAAAAAAAAAAAAAAAAGAGCTGAAAACTTGTGTGCTGGAAGCATCTGCTCTGCCCCACGATGGTGCGGGCTCCGTGGGAGGATGCTACAGGAATTTGGGATGCTCTGGGGCAGGTCCTGAGAGACCTCCGGCAGCTCCCAGCCTAAATAGGAAGGGAGATGGGGGGGCAATTTATTCACTTTTGGAGAGGTTTTGGGAGTGCTGAGCCTGTGGGAGTTTGGAAAATGGAGCCTGTTCTCCAGAAAACCCAAAGATAGTGTTTTTTTCTGTCTCTGGGGTGTGTGGTTTGGGGCTGGTCCCCCAGCATGGGACATCTCCTGGTATCTCATGGGGTTTTTCATAGAAAAGCACTTTTGGGGCTGTTTTCTGGAGCAGGCCGGGTGCTGGGGTGGCACTGTGGGTGCCCTCCCAGCGATGCCCGGCTGGAGATACTGCGCCAGTGGGAAAAATCCCAGCACAGCAGTGACTTTCCCAGGTTTTGGGGTGCAAATGCTGCATGTAGCCCATCCAAAGCCAAAAAAACCAACCCTCTTGCTGCCACCAGCCCTGGAAAACAGGAGACAAGGGGGCACATGGGTATCCCCCCTCCCCGGCCGGCATCAGGCATGCGCCGCCGCCGCGTTAATCATTGCCGTGGCACGAAGAGTCCGGGGCTGGTAAAACCTTGGCAACGCGGCATGCCTCAGCCTCTGCCTGCTGCAAAAGGAGGAACATTATGTCCAGAAATAAACATCATATGCTTTATTATTATAGCCGGCAGCGCGGCTCCCGGAGGGCACTGCTATTAATAGGATGAGCTGGAGGATGTCGCTTGAGCGGGGCTGGTGCAGCCCGGAGGGGGGTTCGTGAGCGTTGCCGGCAGCCTCTGCTCCGCTGCCAGCTGTCACGGAGGAGCCTGAAGGCTGGGTCGTGGCAGAGGGTCGGGATTTGGTGGCGCTTGAGGCCGTGTCTGCTGTGGTTGTGCACAATCCAGCTGCGAAGCATCCCCCAGGCTCAGTTGATGACCCAGGCCTGATTTGGATGGTCCCAGTGCATCCCAGCGGGACCTTTCCTGCAGGATACGGAGGGGAAGGAGGGATGAGGCTCGGTCCACCAGCCACGCCCGCTCCTGCGTGTGTGTTGCTCTCACCAAATTACTGAGTGCAAATAATAACCGGTGACCATGCTGGGAGCGGGGGCTCCTCCATGTCAGGGCTTTCCCCGTGGTGTTTGGGGTGCCGGGAGGTGTTTTGCAGCTCAAGGCACGTGGGCACATGCTGGGGGAGGAAGATGCTCAGTGCTACGTGGCGCCAGGCAAAGGGGTCCCCAGGGTTTCTGCAGGCCCCGTCGTGCCGAGTTGTGCTGAGCTGTGCCAAGCTGCCCCATGCCCATCCTACCCCGGTAGAGTGGCCCGTTGTCATGACAACCCGAGAGGCTGGCTTAAAAATAGCAAATGGCTGCTTGTTTTGGGGGTTTCTTCTCTGCGCCCACCTCCAGACAGCTCCTCACTCGCCGTCTGCTGCGCCGCGGGTGCGGGGGCTTCCCGGGGATCCCCAGCTGCAGCGGTGGGGCAGGATCCAGCCCTGGGGCACCAGTTCTTCCCCCCCCCCCCCCAAAAAAAAAAAAAAGTTTAATTACTACAAATCATTTTATCAACCCCAGCACGGTGCTGCACCAAGCACCCAAACTCCCGATGCCAGGGCTCCTGTTTTCTCCGTGCCTCAGTTTCCCTCTCTGCGTGGAAGGGAAGGGGCTGGCAGCTCCTCCCTGTCTCCATGTGATGATGCTGGGCACTCAGGGCTCGATGCTGTTGGGTGGTAAAACCTCTGATGACAGGGACACCCAGGGAGCGGGGTCACGTTAGGGTTTTCCTCTGACAGAGCTGGGCTGTGGGAGACCCGGGAGGGAACGAGGTCAGTGTCGGGGAGTTGGGCATCAGGAGAAGGGTGTTGAGGGCGGTGGCACATCCCTGATGGAGACGAGCCTGGGAATGGCTCCATGCTCTTCCCGCTGCCTCCTCCACTCTGGTTGTGACACAACCCATGGCCCATGGAGTGGGAGGACATGTCTGTGTCCCCATCGCCCCTTCGGCATAGATGGAGCCTGTTATCACATCCTCCCAGTCGCTCTTCCCCTTTCTAGACTAAACAAATTCTTTCAACTTTCCCTCATCAGTCATATTTTCCACAAAGGGTTCTTCACTCCCATCTGCAAACCTGCTCTGTCCCCTCCTGGGCTGTGGGGACATGAGGTCCAACCCATGGGGACAGGGGTAGGACAGGCCCAGCCTTCAGGACGAGGCCTCTGTGCCACGGCCCCTAGAAACCCCAAAGAAAACGGGGTGGGTTGTCACAGCCAGCAGCACCCAGGAGCATCCAGCTCCGGTGCTGCAGGCTCGCACCCGTGTTTTTGGCCATTGAGAGGGATGTAGAGGAGCAGGAGCATGAGTAAATACGCAATTTTACAGTTTAACCATGTTTTCATTAACTTTTTCTGCACAGTTCCCATGGCAGGGGTGGGGGGAGCGGATAGCACGTGAGCCACCAAGAGCCACTCACCTTCAGCAGCGCCTTCCCCCGGGGCTGCACCCAGCCCCTGCCAACCTGCTGCTTTTTTCCAAAACATCTCTGCAAGTTTTAATGAAGCAGCATCAGCCCACGGGAACCACGAGTTCTCCTGGGATGCTCAGGGAGTGATCCCCGGATGAACTCCTTCTGCAGAGCCACCGTCACAGTCTCCTGAGTCCCCCCAGCAGTTAACGGTGGCCGTGCTTTGGTAATTTCTCCCCACGGTGTATTTTATGTCCTCCTCCAGCATTTGAATATTTTTTTCACTCTCACCGACCAGGCTCTGCTGCCCAAACAGTGACTTGCAGTGACACCAGTGCTGTCCCCGGGGCACACACAGGCTTCCGAACAGCTCAGCTCACCCCCGTCTCCTTTTCTCTGTCCTCAAAGATCCTGTCCAACGTTGCCATCTACCTTTGTGCCATCACAGTGGGCACCATGTCCTACTACATGGCCGACCGCAAGCACCGCAAAGCCTTCCTCGAAGCCCGCCAGTCCCTCGAGGTCAAGCTCAACCTGGAGGAGCAGAGCCAGCAGCAGGTAGGAGACCTGGCTGGGCCGAGGGGACAGGGCAGGGGACGGCTATGGGACACTGCTGTGGCTTTGGGACATGGCTAAGCCACCTCCAGCCTGCATCTTGCATGGGGTGGAGGTGTGGCGGGTGATGATGGGGATGGGAGGACTGATGTGGGAAATGCGTTTGTGGTTTTGCACCCCGTGCCCAATTTGGGGACAATCTGTGTGACTGTCCTCTTCCAGGGCCTCACAGCTCCTGCCATGGCCACAGCCGAGCTGTCCCCATCCCCATGAGCGGCCACGTGGGAAGTCCCTGGCACAGCCACACAGCAGGTCCCCATCCCTGAACACGGTCACACAGCACGTCCCTGTCCCCAAGCACAACAGGGCAGGTCCCTGTCCCTGAACATGGCCACACAGCGGGTCCCTGTCCCCAGGCACGGCCACACAGCATGTCCCTGTCATTGGGCACAACCACGCAGCAGGTCCTGGTCCCCAGGTACAACAGGGCAGGTGCCTGTCCCCAGGCACAGCCACACAGCACATCCCTGTCCCCAGGCACGGCCACATGGCAGGTCCCCATCGCTGAACATGAGCCACACACAGGTCCCTGTCCCCAGGCAGGGCCACACAGCAGGTCCCTGTCCCCATGTATGGCCACACAGCATGTCCCCATACCCAGGCAGGGCCACACAGCAGGTCCCTGTCCCCAAGCACAACCACACAGCAGGTCCCCATCCCTCAACATGGTCACCCAGCAGGTCCCTGTCCCCATGCACGGCCACACAGCACTTCCCCGTCCCCAGGCAGGGCCACACAGCAGGTCCCTCTCCGCAGGCGGGACCACTCAACATGTCCCTGTCATTGGGCGCAGCCACGCAGCATGTCCCTGTCCCCAAGCACCACCCCACGGCAGGTCCCCATCCCCACACCCCGCCACGCAGCAGATCCCTGTCAAGCCCGCAGCCACCCACATGCTGGTCCTGCAGGGCCCTGCCGGGGTGAAGCCAGCCACTCTTAGCTCACCCCACGAGCGATGCCCAGCGCGGCAGAGCCCCACGCCCGCGGCTGTGCTGGCACCTTGCCGGGGTGGCCCGGCAAGAGGAACGAGCAGGGTGGGGACTGGGGGTCGTGGTGCCAGCCGGCTCTTTCAGAGCCCTCTTGTCTCCAGCCACCGTCCGGCCATGAGCTGGGCTAATTTTAGCGCCTTATCTGAGGCCTCTCTCCCCATCTCCCATCTCTTATCTGGTTGATCTGCTGCCAGCAATTTGCTCCCAATGGCAACAAGAGACACGTGGCGGGGCCAGCGCCACTGGCGTCCTCTTTCCTGTGAAACCTGGGTGGATGCTCTGATGTCTAATAAGGGGTTAGGTCCAGGGAGGGGTTTGGGTGATGGGGCCAAATGTTGGGTCTGGGGGATGCTCTGAGAGAAACTGCCTTCGAGGCCCCAGCTCATGGCTTCGGAGGGGTGTAAGAAGGGACATGGGGATTATTGTCACGTGAGCTCTGTTTTCTTAGGGAATTGAGCTAAACATAGCCTGTGATCTTGCAGAAAAGGCTGCTTGCGTGAGGTCGAGGGGCCTAGGACAGGGTGGGGGCACGGGGCAGGGAGAGATGCTGGCAGCCGGATCCATCCCTCCTCCCTCCAGGCCATGGGTGGTGGCTGAACCGGCAGCCCCGCAGGCAGAGCTAAGGTTAATAGAGCCGAGAGGAGCCGGGGAGCCCCCTCACACCTCCCTGCCAGCAGCCCCCAGGGACAGGAATGGGGATGGGGACACGGTACTGTTCCTCCAGCAACAGCCCTGCTGCGGCTGCGCACAGAAACCCCCCATCCCGGGAGAAAACCCGCTTCATTAACTGAGTGAGTTACATTTAGCGCAAATCCCCACACACAGCCGGGAAGATTTATCCCTGCTCCGGGGCTGCAGGGCCAGTGGGGACAGCAATGGGTGTGATGTCCCCAAGTGGGCTTGATCCTTCTGGGGGACCTCGGTTGAGTGTTACACGTGGATATGGGATACCCACCATGCTTCAAAACCTGATAAATCCTGCTTGGTGTGGTTTAACCCAGGTCCATCCACCAGCCCCGACCCACCCCCGGTGCAGGACACCCTGGGGAATCTCTCAGGGTCCCTGGGGGATGTTGGTGCAGACCCCGAGGTCACTCCCAGCACCATGTCCCAGGGTTGGTTGGTCTGACAAAAGCTTGGCCAACCCATTGTGGTTTGACTCCTCTTGTTCAGTCTGGAGAAGAGGAGGCTGAGGGGAGACCTCCTGGCCCTCTGCAACTCCCTGCCAGGAGGGTGCAGAGAGGGGGGATGAGTCTCTGGAGCCAAGGAGCCAGCGCCAGGCCCCGAGGGAATGGCCTCAAGCTGCCCAGGGCAGGGTCAGGCTGGCTCTGAGGAAGGATTTCTGTGCAGAAGGGGCTGTTGGGCGTTGGAATGGGCTGCCCAGGGCAGGGGGGAGTCCCCGGGATCCCTGGAGGGGTTGAAGAGTCGGGCTGAGCCAGCGCTGAGGGATCTGGGGGAGTTGGGAACGGTCAGGGGGAGGGTCATGGTGGGGCTGGAGGAGCTGCAAGGGCTTTTCCAACCCGGATGGTTCTGGGATTCTGTGACTCTCAAGCTCCCAGTGAGGGGCTGGGCTCCATATGGTGCCTGCAGAAGGGATCCAGGGTGCACAAGCCATTTTGCAGCTCATCAGTCAGTGTCCAAATAAGTGTGTGGCACTGTCCCTCCTTCCACGGTGCTGGGGACAGGACAGCTGGTGGCTGCAGTGCCCCAAAACTGCCACCTCCCCCCCATCCTCCCCCAGCTGGGATTTATTCCCACTTGTAAAAATCTTGATGAGAACTTGTAAAATAGGGAGGAAAAATGGTAAAAGCAGTGGTTGGCAGAGCAGAGCATCACCAAGGGGGACCTGCCACCCAAGGGTGCGTCTCTCCCACCCCTGGGTGCATCCCTGCTACCTGTGGGTGCAGGTTTGGAGTTGGGGGATGGCTCCCAGCTCCCAGGGTGTCTTGGACAACCCCCTCCCAGTTTACTCTCCCTTCCCGGAGGAAAAGCTCTTGTTTCACCCATGGCTAAAGGCCTGGCTGGGCTCCTTGGGCATGGCCAGTTCCAGCAGCGAGGGCCCAGGAACTTGGCTTTGTCCCTTGTTTGCTCTGTCCCTGCATATTTGCAGCGTGTGTTTGGATGGTCCATCTGTACCGGGGATTCCTACTGTGCATTTGCACCGTGCGTTTGCACTGTGCATCTGTACCAGGAGTTTGCACCGTGTCTTTTGCATTGCGTGTCGGCACCGTGAGTTTAAACTGGGCATTTGCACTGTGTAGCTGCACTCTGTGCAACTCGGTGCAATTCAGACTGTGTATTTACTTGGCACCGCGAGTTTAGACCGTGTTTCCTTGCACCATGGGTTTAGACTGGGCGTTTACACCGTGTATTTGCACCCTGCGTTTAAACTGTGCGTTTCGGCTGTGTATTTATTTGCACCCTGCATTTCAACCGGGCGTTTGCTCTGTGTAGTTGCACTCTGCAGTTACACGGTGCGTTTAGACTGTATTTATTTGCACCATGCATTTACACCCTGTGTTTAGACTGTGCATTATTTGCACCACGCATTTCAACTATTTATTGGTACCGTGGACTTGGACTCTGCAGTTGCACTGTGCATTTATTTACACCAGGAGTTTAGACTGTGTATTTACTTGCACCAGGGGTTTAGACTGCGCATTTGCACCGTGTATTTGCACCCTGAGTTTAAACTGTGCATTTAGACCGTGTATTTATTTGCACCGCGGGTTTAGACAGTGTATTTACTTGCACCACGCGTTTAGGCTGCGCATTTACACCGTGTATTTGCACCCTGCGTTTAAACCGTGCGCTTGCATCACGCACTTGCACTCCGCAGTTGCACGGCGCGTTGAGACTGCGTATTTGTTTGCACCGTGCCTCTGCCCCATGCATTTAGACTCGGCATTTGCACCAGACGTTTTTCCAGGCCGTGCATTCGCAGCGTGCGTTTGGCCGGAGGGTTTGCGCCGCGCGTCGCTTGCGCTCGGCGCCCGTCTTGGCGTCATGGTGGCCAACTGCCTTGGGTGCCCGTCCGCAGGAGCGCCTCATGCTCTCCATCCTGCCCAAGCACGTGGCTGATGAGATGCTGAAGGACATGAAGAAGGACCCGAGCCAGAAGGAGATGCAGCAGTTCAACACCATGTACATGTACCGCCACGAGAACGTCAGGTAGGACCATCCTTTTGCTGTCTGGGGAAAAAAAAGCCCTATTTTTTTTTTTTCTGAAATGTGTATTTTGCAACCCTGTCTAGAAAATAGGGGAGAGGTTGGGGTGGTTTGCAGCTAAAGCGACCAGTCAGACCGTGGCTTGGGGCCCCTTTTTGCTCCAGCCGTGCTTTGCCAAGCATCATTTTTAGCCCTGTCCCCAAAATAGCCTTTTCCTGGTGAAAAAGAAGAGCGGGGAAGGGGGATCCCAGAGTGGGGGGGACTCCGGGGCTGAGCCTCTCACCATTGCTCCCCGCAGCATCCTCTTCGCAGACATCGTGGGCTTCACCCAGCTCTCCTCGTCCTGCAGCGCCCAGGAGCTGGTGAAGCTCCTCAATGAGCTTTTCGCCCGCTTCGACAAGCTGGCAGCCGTAAGTGCTCCCCCCTCACCACAGCCCACACCCTGGCATGTAATGAGCAGGGCAGGTCTCAGCCACCACCCCATCCCCACCAAAAGCTGCCTCCCGGGATGGGGATGAAGAGGTTAAAATATTAATGCTCTGGGATGCTGGACAGGCCCTGCCCTGTTGCAAAAATAGAGCTGGGAAGGGGGGGGGGG